ACGGCCACCGATATCTTCAAAAAGGCCCATTTGAAAAGCACGCTCAATTTTTTGAGCATTTGAGTTACCAGACATTTTTTCTGTACGTTGATCTCTGTGAATTTTTTTTACACTTGACTTGTGATTAAGCTTTGCCATGAGACTGGCCTTCGCATTTGAAACAGCTGTGGTGGTCCCCTCCAGAACAGCCACTTCTCTTCTACAGTACTGCCGTATCGCCATTCGATCACCAATTTTTGGCACATATTTCATTAATTGTTCCTCTGTCATCTCATTGGCAGCATAGCAGTCAATCTGGAAAATGGAATTGAAAATCATGGTTAATTTTTCCCCTGAAACCTGACAAATAATTACAGGATAAAATCACAACATGTATCCGAAAAGCTTAATTTTCTTATGAATGTTATAATTGTAAAAAAGAAAGGGCAAAAAAATACAATATACAGTTGGCTCAGTAAGCACTTAACTGACTCCATGGACTTGATTGTATTCTTTTGAGAAGTGTTCTTTCTGCCACATTAACATGTGCACACAGGTAACTCTATAGTTACTTAGTAAACTATGCTACAGCATTGGAGAAAATGTACAGTACTCATGTAAGTAGAATTCAGAAAAATTTAGATTAGAATACCACATGTATTTCAAAATACACCTGAAACAATGGTAGATAAAAAAGTAAGCATTGTTAACACATGGTGATACAGCCATAAACCTAAAATGTATTAGTTGTTGTAATATTTTGAGCAACAAGTCCTTTACTGAGATTTGGTATGTGTGGATGTATCTATTATTTTCAGTGTATTATACCTTGCTTTAAGGGTGTCACATACCTTCTCATCTATGAAGCTTGCAATCACGGTCTCATCCAACCGTCGCTGCTCTCGCAAGAATTTCTGGAAATTTGGATCCATTCTGACAGATGAAAATAAATAAATCTGTCAAGCAAACAACACCACCAATAATAATAATAATAATAATAATAATAATAATAATAATAATCAACAAATCAACAACAACAAACAACAACAACAACAACAACAACAACAACAACAACAACAACAACAACAACAACAACAACAACAACAACAACAACAACAACAACAACACAACAACAACAACAACAACAACAACAACAACAACAACAACAACAACAACAACAACAACAACAACAACAACAACAACAACAACAACAACAACAACAACAACAACAACAACAACAACAACAACAACAACAACAACAACAACAACAACAACAACAACAACAACAACAACAACAACAACAACAACAACAACAACAACAACAACAACAACAACAACAACAACAACAACAACAACAACAACAACAACAACAACAACAACAACAACAACAAGTTTGGATATCTGAAATGAGCTTTGAGTCATTATAGCCAAGGGGTTTTAACTAAATCAAAGGTTGAACTCTTCAGTTTTAATTTGCTTCAATAGCCTAGATTGATTCCCATAACACTTCCTGAAGGAATACATCACCAGCTAGCATGACAACGATACATAGTTGAATCTGGGAAGCGACTATCAGTCAAAATAAATCATGCTGGCAGCAGCCTACAACTTGAAACCATCAAACAACATATTAAACATCAGTAAATACAAGCATATTGTAATGGGGAGAGCAAATTTATCTGGTATGTAATGTGGGATTGTGACCACCAGGGGGCATCGGTAAGAATGCACTGCTTAGAGATGATCCAGTTCTTTGGTTTATTAAAGTTCTTAATTGCACACTGATTTACAGCAGGTATCCATAACTATGTGGTGTGTGTGTTTGTGTGTGGTCCTGCAATAACAAAGAAAATCTAAATTAGAATAAGCTACTTCAAACAAAGCATTATGTAAACAAAGCTAGCACACCACTAACATTTAGCATACAGCAGTTAGCCTGTTAGCTCTTAGCAGCACTTAAAAACAAAGGAGCATACATTCAAATGTGCTTAAATATATATCTGCAGTTCACTTAAGTAATAATGGCCTTATAAACAGTATGCAAGAAAAGCAGGGTTCATTTCTGTGACTTCAGTCCAACCACTACTCACTTTTTTATAACGCACACAGGTCCGAAAAACACATCAGAGTTAAATCTGAAGACGTGGGTTACAGAATCTTTTGTGCTTATAATCAATGGCTCTTTTCAAACAGCACACTGCAGTAGATGTACACTGCGAGCATAACAATATGCAGCATGTGCATTTTTATGTAAGCCTATGCATGGTACAGTATGCAGAATTATTGTTTTGAAAATCTATCAGTTTAGTAATCTGTGCGCACAGTTTAGTAATCTGTGCGCACAGTTTAGTAATCTGTGCGCACAGTTTAGTAATCTGTGCGCACAGTTTAACAATCTGTGCGCACAGTTTATTTATTTTTTTACCCCTGGCCCTTGCAGGGCTCCGTAGAAAGCCCCATTAGGCGCGACGCATCATGGGAGATAATCCACTGCGCAGAACCGGGAGGACCATACGATGTCCAAATATAGGAGAGATCACCGGGGCTTGCCGTGAACACATACTGCTGTTATATAAAGTCTCTGGAAGGTCTCTGGACACAGAGACGCTGCCCAGCTGCATTGCTGGAGAAGAGCTTTACACAAAAAGCCGCTAGCTTAACTCCGGTAGCATCATAGTCTATTCGCTACTTCCGACGCGCGCCACTGCAGGCCAGGACGTCTGGTGTGAAGACCACTCCGTCTGAAAATTAGAAAATGTGCGTCTGGTGCGCGAGGCGGCAGCGTTCCAGCGTTGGCGGTGTGGAAGCACCTTCAGAGAGTGTCCGCTCTGTGGATCTGGTTTGCATACGCCGGGCATTTGATTCTGGGGCAGATGTGGCAGATCGAAGGCGGATCCCCAGAGTCTGTTGCTATCTGGACAGAGACACCTGCTTCAGACAAACCAGAGTTTTAAATTTGAATGTATGTGCTTCGTTTTAATGCAAACTCTGTTAAAATCACAGACTCAATGAAAATCCAGAGTGTGTGTGACTGGCCGTTACGGCAGGTACGTGTTATAAACGCAGCAGACGCACGTGACATTTTTACATGTGAACCAATGGGGATATTAACGCTACTAGCGTTATGCACGTATGACAGACGTATTACGTGAGGCTGTACCTAATTTAGGATGGATTTCTAATCTTGTGCCGCAGCAACGGGTGTCCCATTGAAAACATATGTGAATCATTATTTTGGCTTTAGATCACATCTACACACACACAGAACTTGTATCTAAACATTAGCAGGAGGATTGACAGGTTTTGCAGTGATTGTGGACATCGTTTTTTTTCTTTCATAGTCTCGCCTCTGGCCAAACCAGGGCACAGAAACCATGAAGACAAACACATGCATGTGATTTGTGTTGCTCTTAACGTATTAAAAAAATGACGTGTTCAAAATCCCTTATAAAGATGACCATGATTCAGAAAGTTAAATTCAAAAAGGTTTATTTCCCTAATACAAAAAGAATCTAAAACAGCTGTTCGGACCAAAAGTAACTATCCCTTATTCTCTATATAAAATATAAAAGTATGACTTTGAGTGGGCGCTCCACATCAAGACACACACTGCCCCTGGTCCAGAAAAAACTAACTAACCACACATTCAAACTATCTACTATAAGTAAAATGTGCATGGGGAAGAAGGGGCGTGGTATCAGGCAGCTTCCAGGGTCCCGTGATCCGCCTTCCCCCATCTGGTCTCCTCCGTCTCCAGTCTGCACCTAAAAGAGAATTCATGCTTTTCTAACCTACGTGTCTCCGGGCAGCTGTCTCTGGTCTGGATTCATCCCTGCTTGTCTAAACAAGTAGTGAGTAGACTGGCAGACTCCAGTGTCAACCCACTCCTGATGGAGTGGGTTCAATAATGCAGAAGTCAGCAGGGGCCAAGGCTAGGGGGACAAAATCCAAACAAGCAGAACCCACCTGTTATTTAGCTGGTCCCCCAAGAAGACCCCTAAAATTAAAATAAAAAGGACTGGCCTGCAACTCAGAGGTCGATAGATCATAAAACACATGGTTTTAGAATGTCACTTATTTATAAATACAACACTCTACATCAGTCCTCCGGCCCATACTGTTTAACACTTACAATTTAACACTTCTCCATAGACTACACAGGGAGAGCATCGGAAGCATATTATACGACTTTGTACCAACAGAACATTATTTAATGACAGAAAATAAGAACTGCATGAAAACTGGACAAAGAATTCTGAACATCAGCGGTGAGTGACCCAAACATTATCTTAACCTAAATCCATAATTCGATCTTCGGCAAATGTTGCTAAAATGTCCCGGAATCTACTTCTAGGATTTTCGCGGCCGCTTTTTCTCACATTAAAATAGCATTTTAGTCATAAAAACATAAACAGAAAATTCTGATAAACTCCGTGCACGTGTATTAAGAATGTATTTGTATAATGTAGAATACATTAACATTTAAATGTGTTGATTGATTGGTATTTACGTTTATTGAGTGTGGCTATCTCCGAAGTGGCCGGAACTACTTGCGGATAATCTACACATCTGAATTGTTTATACAGTGCATCCGGAAAAATTTAGCATTTTACTTTGGACTAGAGCAGAGAAAATGGTCCGAACCAAGCGGCTACTCCACCTTGTGACCTGTCCTGCTCCACCCAGAGGCTACTCCACCTCTGCTGCTGTGACCTAAAGGGTTGTTGCTGATTATTACTATCATTATGTTTTTAGAATGATCTATTTAATTTTTACTTTTGCTGCTACTGGACACCTGAATTTCTCCTTTGGGGATCAATAAAATATCTATCTATCCATCTGTTCTCAAGCAGTTTCCATGGAGATGTCACTGCAGAGAAAAGAATGACCCAGGCCTTATAGCTTGGAAAGTCCTACTAGCTGATGTGGATGTAGCGGTGGGAGGCAAGCACTGACTCCGCTACAGCCAGAACCTCTGGGTCCACCGTCCATACGTCGGTTCACCAACAGCACACTGCAAAATGGAAGTTCCTGAGACAAACGTTAAGGCTTTCATTGAGACCTGGCAGTGTGTGGAAAAGGAACATGAAGCAGCAGAGATGATCTTCCACGGAAAGCTGCAGCAGTGGCTTTCCAACAAGGTCGACCATTTTGGTGACGAACATGTGGCTCAAGAGCTGCCGTGGAGTCAGAGCAAAGAGGCCTGGAACACAGAAGAAACCATCTTCAAAGAGCAAGTTGACAGGTTGTTGAGGTCTGTTGACGTGAAACTCAGAGGAGATCAGGAATCTACAGACTTAGCCAACAGCAGTTTGACAAACGGCAGAAGCACCTGGCCATTTGTGAGACCCAGAGGGTCCAGATAGAGGCTTGGTATCAAGGCAGGGCCGGGATTTGCTAGAAATGCAAATCCCAGCTCGCCGTTGCAAGGCCGTTATAGCAAGACCAAAAGTGCTTGTTTAAAGCAGAAAATTTAAACTTCATGGAAAGTTTTCTTAGAGCAGGAGGAAAACTTTGAAAACAAAATGGATGAAAAGATAGCAAAATCTCATCATACCTTTCACCAAATGATGACCAATATTTACATTCTGAAATAGCACGTTTAAGGCGAGATAATGATTCTCTGAGGAAAAAGTACTTTGAAAAGTGTCAGTACTTTGACCATGTATTCACGCTGGAGAAACAGGCGTGGAGGCAGGAGAAGGAGCAGCTTCAAAACACAATTAAAAATCTGGAAAATGACCTAATAGTGGAGATGAAGCAGGATTTGTGTGTAGAAAATGCAGATCTAAAGAGCAGATTCAGTAGTTTTCAGAAAGTAAGGGGTCAAGCTCATCTCGTATGGATGACAAAGGAAGTGGACTACGAGAGAAAGTTAGTCCAGGCGGCCGACTCAAAGATTGTGTTTTTGCGACACGTGGTACAGATGCAGCAGCAGCTGGTCCGGCTACACACGTGCAACCGGCAGTTTCCACATCTCCCGTCTTGTTTGCCACCACCACCCATGGTTTGTGGACAAAATTGTTGAGACATTGACTTGGTTCAACATCTGCCTTCACATAAATGAAATGGTCGTATTTGTGTATTAGTACACAGCCTGCTTTGTTGCTATAATAGGTACTTATCTGCCTCCGAGCTCTTGAGGCTGTTGATCGCATATCCATCCACAGCCATGGAGTCAACAAAATAAAAATAAAAAATGTTCTGGTGATTTTTGGCCCTTTAGACATGTTGTCATCCCAAGTCGTTATCGTGGATGGATGGGGAATTGTGCAAACCCCATCTTTTGTAATAAATGTCGCTGAATGTCTCCATTATAGATATATATTTTGCGAAGGAAAATAACGTGTTTGAGCAGTAAAAGAGCGTTATCGGAAGAGGAAAAGCAGGATCAGTAAGTAAACCGGACATGCCCAATAAACTTGTCTAAACCCAAATAGTTCTAGATTTTGATTACGCCATCTATTCTCAAGCAGTTTCCCTGGAGATGTCACCGCAGAGAAAAGAATGACCCAGGCCTTATAGCTTGGAAAGTCCTACTAGCTGATGTGGATGTAGCGGTGGGAGGCTAGCACAAAATCCCCTACAGCCAGAACCTCTGGGTTCATGGTCCTTTAGCCGGTTCACTAACAGCATACTGCAAAATGGAAATCCCTGAAACATGTGTCACAAATGTGAGGTTCTTTGATCAGCTTAATAAACCCACTGCTGAATAACAACACAGCTTTGACCAGATAAAATGTTTATTTACAATGAATTAAAAAAGTTAAAAATGCCGGCCCTTAAGGGTAAAAATATGTACTTAAAAATGAAGTTAAAACCCTAAAACCTTGGTCCCCCAGATTGCATTGTCCCGGGCTAGCAGTCCTCTCCTCTGTGCCCGTCCTCTGTTCCCCCTGCACCTCCAGCTGTCCTCTTGTCCTCCTTTTACGGTATTAGCCCGTTGTCCAGCGTTGTGTGCCGCCTTGGCTTGTTCGCACCGCTACTCCGCGTCTGCTCCACGTCTGTCCTGTAGTTCCCAGGCCGTTGCGCGCCGATGGCCAGTGTCCCGCTGTGGAGAGGACCGGGAATACACTTCGACTAATGCAGCCATTGTGCTTAGATGGCAGTGAGTGCTCGTTTACGTCCCTTTACTTAGCTTGTGTCCAGCGTTTGTGTGTAGAAAATGCAGATCTAAAGAGCAGATTCAGTAGTTTTCAGAAAGTAAGGCCCCGACTCCACCGGGCGCGTAAAACGGACGACGGATCCGTCCAAACATGTACGTTTCATCTCCGTCTCCGTTATCTCCATGAGAGTGAATGGAAGTGGCTCCACTGCCTCCGCATGCGTCCGTCCAACGCACGTCGGACGTATTCCGTCAACGGAGGGTGCAACAGACGTGGACGGACGAAATAGAAAATATCTTATTTGTTCCGTCCGTCGACGCGTGTCGGGTCCGTTTTCCATTGAAAATGCAATGGAATAATATATTTATCACATTATTTTAAATATTTAAATATTTTTTCCCTGATATAAATCTGCCGTTTATTATTCGCGTAATGTCAATATTGACTCGCTTTCAAAAAAGCCTGTATATTTTGAAGTTTTTTTCTCTTTCCACCCCTTTTTGCCAAGTGCCTAGTCACGTGTCTTTGATCTATGCAAAGCACGACACTATTGAAGCATCAAGGACGTCGCGATGGACGAAGCTAAACTAATTGAAAGTGTCGAGCAATTTCCTGAGTTGTACGACACTAGCAATAGTTACTACAAAGACACAAGGAAGAAAGACAAGGCTTGGGACATGATTTCTTCAATGATGGGAGTCAAAAGTAAGTATAGTGTGTCAGTATGAATAAAGTTAACACGGAGCGAAAACCACAAAAAAAAAACGTGTTGAACCTGCCCATTTTTATTTTTCCTCCAATACAAAATACATTACTACTGCACTAGTGAGCTACTGTCTTTGATAGATAACAGTTCTAAAAGCGTAATAACACGAGTAGTTTCTATTTGCAATTCCAGATTCCCTAATTACTATTTTCAATGACAAAAAGATAAGTTAGTTAAAGCTGCATTAACTGACTTTGGGATTTTGAAGCAGCAGACTCGCTGGCCTCTCTCTTTCTGCTCCCCTCCCCGCACCCACGAAGCTATCGCCCCCCACACACACTCACTGTTGGGACGGAGCTAGCGTCTCCCAATATGGATAATACATGGATACGGATTTGTACGTGGATGGCGTGACCATAGAACGATAGAACCGGGAAGCGCGGAGGAACGGGACTTTCTTTTGGATGGCTGTTTCGCTAAGTAAGCAGTAACCGGTGATGAAGACACGAAGCTTCAGGTTAGCTCCTCGGCTTGTTGTGCTAACTCAGCTGTCTGTGCTAACGGAGACCTGTAGATTTCTCACGAAAGTGGGGGCTATTGGTCCGCTGTGATTGGTCACAATCTGCGACCCGAAACACATTCTCTTCCTTGTTTCATCAAAACTCGATCTAAAATATAATGTCACGCCAGCACAAATCTGCGCTAATTATTCTTCAAAAGGACGTATATCCCAATGCACTACATGGACATGGATAGCATTTTCGTAATGAATACGAAAATAAAGTCAGTTAGTGCAGCTTTAAGATAGGCAACTTAAGTACATCTGTAATTTCCAGAATCACCTGCTGTAGACCTTATTTTAATAATTTCATATGTGGCATACAAACTGTCAGCAGTGTGTTCATTGTTTCTGTTTGTTGGCATGTGTATGTAATAATACTCTAATAATAACGGGAAAAACACAAATGAGTTGGAATCATATTTTATTTACAGTCAACAATATTTACAAATTGTAACATATTTACATAATGACAGAATGAAAGTATCGCAGCCTCCCTTTATCTGAACTGAAAAAAGCTGCTAACTTTTTTCTATTTTCAATCGCAGTCCGGCTAGCTCAATTTCCCCTTCCTTCCTCATTTTGCTCCATGAACAAATTCCCCTCCACTGCTTCTTCCAGGCATCTTTCTGCTTCCTCCTCAGAATGAAGGAAGTTATGGAGAATGCAGCAGGCAGAAACTATATAATCCACGTTTTTGGGGTCCATTGAAATGGTGGTGAGGAGAACCCTCCATCTTGACGATAAAATTCCGAAACTACATTCAATCACCATTCTGGCCCTTGAAAGTCTGTAGTTGAAAGTCTCCTTCTGCGGGGGAAGGCTCCGTCCGGGGAATGGACGCATCAAGAAGGTTTTTAGGGGGAATGCAGCATCACCCAGAACGACATAGGGCATTGGCCCATGTACACCTGAACCCGGCAATGGAACGTCACCGGGGACGTGTAATGTTTTTCTCTGCAGTCCTTTCTTCAGCTGGGAAGCACTAAAAACACCACCATCGCTTGTGCGGCCATAGTCCCCTACTTGAAAGAAAAGCAGACTATAGTTGGCATCTGCCAAGGCCAATAGCACAACAGAGAAGTGGCCTTTATAATTAAAATATTGGCTTCCGCTGTTGGCTGGAGCACTTATGTTGATGTGCTTTCCATCTATAGCACCCAAGCAATTGGGAAAGCCCCATCTTTCTCAGAAGGCCTCAGCAGTGGCTTTCCATGTTCCCTCGGTCATTGGGGGGAATTGGGTGGACAGCATGCATCGCTTGATGGCACGAACAGTTGTGTGAACTATATTGGCCACTGTCGCTTTGCCCAGGCGGTATTGGAAGGCCAAGCTCCTGAATGACTCCCCAGTTGCAAGAAACCTGAGGGAAAAAAAACATGTTTTAAAACATAATAATTGTAATGTAACCCACATATTTTTTAATTCATTCGGTGAGGATTGCAAAAAAAGGTGGCGGCAACTCCGGGACAGCTTTGTCAGGCATAAAAAAAACAAGCCAACAAATGGATCTGGAGGAGGAACCACAAAAGAGTGGAAGTGGGAGAAGGAAATATCTTTCATTCTCCCTCAATTGTCATTGAGAAGGTAAGAGTATGAGAGAGTTTTACTTTAAATAATTAATAATAATTAATTTACACTCTCGTAAAAAAAAACATAATAATAATAATAATAAATTTTATTTATAATGCACTTTATATTTGACATCAAATCTCAAAGTGCTACAAACAGGAGCATAAATAAAAGCAAACACATAAAATCAGATAAAAGACTATAAAAAAATTAGCAGTATGCTTTAGTAAAAAGATGGGTTTTGAGTCCCTTTTTAAAAGCTTCCACCGTCTGTGGGGCCCTGAGGTGGTCCGGGAGGGCGTTCCACAGACGGGGAGCAGCGGCCTCGAAGGCCCGGTCCCCCATTTTCTTGAGCCGTGTCCTGGGCGGGAGCAGACGGTGCTGTTGGCCTGACCGGGTTCTGCCTGAGGAGTGTGGAGTGAGGAGGTCAGTGAGGTAGGTGGGGGCATCACCGTGGAGACAGTGGTGGGTGTGCAGGAGGATCTTGTATTCTATACGGAGGTGAACGGGGAGCCAGTGGAGGGTGTGAAGGATGGGGGTGATGTGCTCATGCTTCCGCACCCTCATCAGGACTCTGGCCGCACTGTTTTGTAGGTACTGGAGCTTTTGAAGGCTCCTGCCAGGGATCCCGATGAGGAGTGCGTTGCAGTAGTCCAACCTGGAGGAGACAAAGGCATGGACGAGCTTCTCTGCAGCCGGGAGAGAGAGAGAAGAGCGGAGTTTTGAAATATTACGGAGGTGGAAGAAGGAAGTTTTGCAGATGTGATGTATGTGATTTCCGAAGGAAAGGTGGGGGTCAAACTTGACCCCGAGATTGGTTACAGAGGGAGAGAGGGGAATGCTGTGGCCAAAGAGAGAGATTGAGGTGATGGGAGAAGAGTGAAGTTGATGGGGAGTACCAGTTTGAATGGCTTCTGTTTTTGAGCCATTCAGCTGCAGGAAGTTTTGCCTCATCCATGCAACATTTCAAACATAACATTGTATTAAAATAAATACAAATGTATTTGCATTATGTAGGAGTGATAATGGACTCAGACTTAAATTTCAAAAGCCACATAAAATCTGTAACATCAGCAGCTTATTACCACCTAAAAAACATTGCTAAAATTAAAAACATAGTGTCTAAGGCAGACTTGGAGACTCTTATACACGCTTTTGTCTCCAGTCGGTTAGACTATTGCAATGGCTTGTTCACAGGTCTGTCCAAACAGGCTGTAAAACAGCTGCAGTACATTCAACATGCAGCAGCTCGAGTCCTGACCAGAACTAGGAGGTACGACCACATTAGTCCAGTTCTCAAGTCTCTGCACTGGCTTCCTGTTCCTCAGAGAATAGACTTCAAAGCAGCTTTACTTGTGTACAAGTCTCTCCATGGTCTCGCGCCAAGGTACATCCACGACATGTTTGTGCCATATGAACCGACCCGGACTTTGAGGAGCGCAGGGACTGGACTCCTGTTAGTGCCCAGAGTCGGTACTAGACATGGGCAAACTGCATTTCATATTCATGCGGCTAGAGTCTGGAACCGTCTTCCTGAGAATGTGAGACAGGCGTCTACTCTGGCATCTTTTAAATCTAGGCTCAAAACAATTCTGTTTAGCTGCGCATGTACAACTGAATGATTTTATCTTTTCATCTTTGTTTTTATCTTTAATCTTTTTAATGCACTGTGACTATTTATGATTTTAGTCCCATCTGTGATTTTAATGTTTAAAGGTTTTTAATTTTTGTGATTTTATTTTTAATGTTTTTAATATATCTTGTGCTCTTAATGTGTTTGATTTATGCATGATGTGATAGGGGATGTGAAGCGCTTTGCGTTGCCTTGTGTAGGAAAGGCGCTCTACAAATAAACGTTGATTGATTGATTGATGTAACAGCACACATCAATCAAGCTTCACTGGAAGGAGTGGAAGAGGATGAGGACCAGGAGGAAGAAGAACCACAGATCTGCGACCTATCCAGCAGGCCAATGAGTCCGGCAGTGGCAAGGAGCACGCCACCTGTCACTCCAGCCCCTGCACATGCGGCAACACCGCCAATTCATCAACGAGTTCAGGCTCTGATAAGTAATCAGAGCCAGCCTACCCGAGCCAGCAGGACCACAACCCGCGAACGCAGGCGGCAGACTGCCAGTGCTGAGGACCAGCTTATAGACATTCTAACCAATACCCCCTTCACGGTCCAGCCGCAGCATGTGCCACAAGCAGATGAGGGAGAGGTCTATTTTGCCCTAAGCATTGTGCCTCAACTTGTGAGCTTCTCCCCACAAGGCAGGGCAATGGCACACATGCGAATACAGGTGGTCCTCAATGAGGTGTTGGAATGGGAAGCCAACAGGGGCCAACAGCAGCGCAGGGCTTATCACCCATACAGGCCAGGAGCACCTTTGCCCCACCAAACTGGTCATCCTGAGAGCTACGGGGAGGATCAGGACACCTCGTACCATTCCCTATAATATTTGTGTGTGTTTTTTTGGTTTACAAAAATTGTTTATGGTGTGATTCGTGTGCAATTGTGTTATGGTTCATATTTGAATGTTGTTAGTATTTACTTTGTTAATATATTCTGTGATTTATTTTACTCTGGCCCTAGTAACATATGTATATGTTCATTTTGTGTAAAACAAATGTTCTTCTATGTTTATTTAAAAAAAACCTCCAACTGATTATTCTTGTTCTGTTTTTTTTTAAATAACAGAAAACGTTTTTAATATTGCTTGTTACCTTATAGTTACTGCCGGTCTTTGTTTCGGCTCTATGGAAAGCCTGTAGTTTGTGTCTTGATGTTGAATTTCTGGTCCAACTTTGGATAGCAGCTCCTCCATCTTTTCTGCAGACATCCTGAAGTAGTCTCTGTGTCTGTCTGGATACAGCTGGAGTTCAGCCACAAGGTGGTGGTATGAACCAAACTCAGGCTGCGCTGGTTCAAGGGATGAACCCACATGGATTGTCTTCTCCTTCGAAGTCGTCTGAGCAATAGCATTGCTGCCAAAACTCGCCGTCTGTCGATTGCTGGAGCTATAAACAATGATAATTTTAATATTGTGTATTCAGATAGTTGTAATTGCTACCAACTCATATATATAGCCTATATTTATATCATTAATATGTACTTATAGAGATAAGGAATTCGCCATATACAACGCCTACAGTTGCCCTTAATACATTATGATACGACAATGATATTCGTAGTAAATTATTATTTAACGTAATTACTTACATGCAAATCACACACCGCTTCTTTAATTTGAATGGTATGCAGTTAAAACAAAGCCCTGAACACGGGAGGGGGGTTGGGCAGCTTTGCTGATAAACGGACAGCCAGAGTTGCGCGCTGCTGCAGCCGGTTTGACCACTAGTCCGTTTAACGGACGTCCGACGGACAGCAGCCAACGCGCGTCAACGGAGACGCGCCTGGTTAAGGGATCAAGCTCATCTCGTATGGATGACAAAGGAAGTGGACTACGAGAGAAAGTTAGTCCAGGCGACCGACTCAAATATTGTGTTTTTGCGACACTTGGTACAGATGCAGCAGCAACTCTGGGAGAAGGATGAAACTATTAGACAGCGGCAGGAGGAGCTGGAGCAAGAGCAAGAACAGGCCATGGTCAGGGAAAAATCTGAAGAGATAAAGCAGATCTCCCATCACAAGCATGTGGCCTCGGGCTTATTCTGGAGATGCATGTGGACACAGTTAGCGATCAGGCTAGCTGCCCTGTTAGCATTTGCATCTGGTGGAACATACGCAATGCACACGAAGATATTAGAGATCTCCCTAGGTAGATAGTGAGGTCTCAGAGTTACACACATCAGTTCAAGATCAGGGTTAGATGTTTTTTCCCTGACAGCTACGTTTGTGCACCATGCGTCTTTCACACAGGCCAGATCCCTCCCCGGTCTGCTTCATTGAGCTAGCATCCCGGCCCCATCTAAGCATGGAAAATCCTTAAGAAGCCATGTTTCAGTTGCTACAATCAGTCCCGCCTCTCCGTATCCATAGCTAACATAAGCCAGGGTCCGCAGTGCATGCATCTTGTTCCACAGCGAATGGACGTTGCAGAGTAGGATTGATGGGAGCGGTAGCTTGCTAGCCACCCGCATCCGTTGCCTCACACACTTTTCGGCTTCTTCTCCTGTGTCTTGCTGTCCGTGCGGGCTGCCTCAGTAGCTCACTGGGGACTCCGCTCAGCAGATTTGACAGAGTCGTAGTCGCGCTGCTCTCGCGGTGCTGTAGAAGCTCAGGCGCGCATGTGTGTGTGAGTGCGCCATCACCAAGGCATGCACATTAGCATTCTGTCTTCCTAATTTGTTTGTTTGGGCTGCGGGAAAATGCTGTAATATATGAACATCAGAAATGTCCTTAAGACATTAGCTTAGGAGGACGCTACCGTGGACAATAAAATAGCTTAGTTTAAGAAAAGTTACTTGGTTTTGTAAATAGTGACGCTACTGTCAAGGTACTGAAAAATGTAGTTAAGCTACTGCCCATCGCTGCTAGTAACAACATATCACAAAACCAGGGCTGCTTAAAGGAGTAGCTCTCTGCCTTTAACGTCCCAGGAAAGAAGCTCTCTGGGTGAAAAAGGTTAGAGACACCTGCTTTAGACAAACCAGAGTTTTAAATTCAAATGTATGTGCACTTCGTTTCAATGCAATTTCTACTGCAAAAATCACAGACTCAATGAAAATCCACCATACTACTATGTATGTGTGTTTGGTGGACCCCGTAGCGCGTCGGGGTCCGCTTCGCCCCGTCGGTACTTATTTTCTGATAATGACCGGCGCAATATACATTATCCCATTTATTATACAACTTTGTACCAACAGAACACAAAAAAAAAACATCAGTCCACTCTTAGGACTGCCGAAATGTTTATTTAATGACAGAAAATAAAATAGATCCCAAAAGACTTCCCATGGCTGTGCAAGTAAGTTAGGCTAGCAACTTCCAAACTAGAACTCTCTCGAACTGCATGAAAACTGAACAAAGAATTCTGAACATCAGCGGTGAGTGACCCATACATAAACCTAACCTAAATCCATATTTCGATCCTCTGCAAATGTTTTTTAATGCAAGAAACTTTTTCTTGCATTAAAATTGTATTTTTTTCATGAAAACATAAACAGAAAATTCTGAAAACCTCTGTGCACGTGTGTTAAGAATGAATATGTATAATGTATTTTCCTATTAACATTTAAATATGTTGATTGATTGGTATTTGCGTTTATTGAGCGTAGCTAGCTCCGAAGTGGCCGGAACTACTTGCGGAATGATCTACACATTTGAATTACAAGCAGAGGCCGCGTTGCCATGGGCACTGACTCCCCTACAGCCAGAACCTCTGGGTCCACCGTCCATAAGCTGGTTCACCAACAGCACACTCCAAAATGGAAGTCCCTGAGACAAACGTTCAGGCTTTCATTGAGACCTGGCAGTGTGTGGTAAAGGAGCATGAAGCTGCAGAGATGAACTTCCAGGGAAAGCTGCAGCAGTGGCTTTCCAACGAGGTCAAGCAGATCTAAAGAGCAGATTCAGTAGTTTTCAGACAGTAAGGGATCAAGCTCATCTCGAATGGATGACAAAGGCGGTGGACTACGAGAGAAAGTTAGACCAGGCGGCTGACTCAAAGATTGTGTTTTTGCGACGCTTGTTACAGATGCAGCAGCAGCTCCGGGAGAGGGATGAAACTATTAGACAGCGGCAGGAGGAGCTGGAGCAGGCCATGGTCAGGGAAAATTCTGAAGAGATAAAACAGACCAAGGCCCATGTGCAGCTGGAGTTGGAACGACTGGAGGTCAGAAGACTTCAGGAGAGAGGGGAGCATGAGAACAGTCTGAACAAGTCGTTTGATAGACAAAGACACTTGGAATCAGAGATGCTGGATCTCAAACAATCTATTGAGCACAAGAACATGGAAGTTGTAAGTAAGTAAGTAAGCTTTATTTATATACCGCCTTTCACAGACCAGAGTCACAAAGCGGTTTACAATTGTTATATTTTTTTGGGCACTTGTCCTCTCACTCCACACAGAGATGGGAGCGGGGTCGCCGAACAGGAGGCGCATGCCAGACCTATTGTACATATTTTTAGTGGTAGGGGAAACCGGAGTACCCGGAGAAAACCTACACAGACACGGGGAGAACATGCAAACTCCACTCAGAAAGGCCCTGGTCCGGCCGGGATTCTAACCCAGGACCTTCTTGCTGAGAGGCGAGAGTGCTATCCACGCTGAGTGGGAACAAGGCAAGTTCATTTGTATAGCACAATTCATACACAAGGCAACTCAAAGTGCTGAACAAAATAAGATACCATTAAAATCATAAATAATCACAGTACATTAAAAAGAAAGATAAAAATATAAAATCCCTCAGTTGTATGCACAGCTAAACAGAACTGTTTTTAACCTGGTGTTAAACATTGTCAGAGAGGAGGCCTGTCTCACATCTTCAGGAAGATTGTTCCAGATTTTAGCAGCATGAATCTGAAAAGCAGCCTCCCCATGTTTAGACCTGACTCTGGGCACTAACAGGAGTCCAGTCCCTGTGCTCCTCAGAGTCCGGGCTGGTTCATATGGGACTAACATGTCACTAATATATTTTGGTGCGAGGCCATGGAGAGACTTGTAACAAGCAGAGCTGTTTTAAAGTCTATTCTCTGAGCCACAGGAAGCCAGTGCAGAGACCTGAGAACTGGACTAATATGGTCGTACTTCCTGGTTCTAGTCAGGACTCGAGCTGCTGCATTTTGAATGTACTGCAGCTGTTTTACAGCCTGTTTGGACAGACCTGTGAGCAGGCCATTGCAGTAGTCTAACCTACTGGAGACAAATGCATGGATAAGAATCTCCAAGTCTGCTTTAGACGCTAGGTTTTTGATCCTTGCAATGTTTTTAAGGTGGTAAAAAGCTGCTGATGTTACTGATTTGATGTGGCTATTAAAATTAAGTCTGAGTCCAGTATTACCCATGGGTAAAGGCTTCTGGAAATGATAGAACCAGCCTCCGAAACCAAGCCTGAGATACACACCGATACAGAGAAGGTAGAAGAGAACACCAAACCACAACAAGGAAAGCGGTTCTCACGCTTACACAGTAGCTCATTGACAAGCATTAAGGCTTTCATAGAGACCGGGCAGAGTGTGGAAAAGGAACATGAAGCAGCAGAGATGACCTTCCAAGGAAAGCTGCAGCAGTGGCTTTCCAACGAGGTCAAGCATTTTGGTGAAGAACATGTGGCTCCAGGAGAAGTGCAGACGTCGAGTCAGAGCAAAGAGGCCTGGAACACAGAAGAAACTATTGTCTAAAAATAAAGACTGACGTGTTTCCAATTTAATGAAGAGAAAGAAGACAAAAGATTTTCAAAAGTTTAACAGTATTTTGATTGTCTGTTACAATCAAATACAAAACTCAAAAGCTCCTAACTAACCCTGATCTAATCCTTTGAGCTGAGCTTAAAGTAACTGTCCCTAAACTATGGGAGAGGTCAACCAGGCGCTCTGCGATTACCTCTGTCTATCTGTCCCTGCTCAGACTGAAAACATTATTCACATATCGCATAATTCAACTGTGTAGAAGCGGGCATGGCTTCATCAGGCGACGTCAGTCCAGACCAGGTCTCGGTCTTGGGTCCAAGTCCTACACCTTGGTTTCAGTCTTTTTCGCCGGATCATCACTTTTCTGAAATACACTTTGGAGAGACAGGAAGCATATGTTCCCTATTTTTTCTACTGTCATCCATTTAAACTCTTGACATTTTAGTTTCTGACAGACGGTCTCCGTGTGTGAGTCCAGCACAAAAACATATCAAAACGACGTAATTGTTAGTACATAAAATCACTGATGATAAATGGTGATTATAGTATTGTATTTTATGCAACAAAACCATCTTCAAAGAGCAGGTCGACAGGTTGTTGAGGTCTGTTGACGTGAATCTCAGCAGAGATCAGGAATCTACAGACTTATGGTACCTTACGAAAGTATTCGGCCCACTTGAACTTTTCAACATTTCAGGCTTCAAACATAAAGATATAACAATTTTAATTTTTTGTCATGAATCAACAGCAAGTGGGACACAATCGTGAAGTGGAACAACATTTATTGGATAATTTAAACTTTTTTAACAAATAAAAAACTTAAAAGTGGGGCGTGCAATATTATTCGGCCCCTTTACTTTCTGTGCAGCAAACTCACTCCAGAAGTTCAGCGAGGATCTTTGAATGATCCAATGTTGTCCTAAATGACTGATGATGATAAATAGAATGCACCTGTGTGTAATCAAGTCTCCGTATGCACCTGCTCTTTGATAGTCTCAGGGTTCTGTTTAAAGCACAGAGAGAACCATGAAGACAAAGGAACACACCAGGCAGGTCCGAGATACTGTTGTGGAGAAGTTTAAAGCCGGATTTGGATACAAAAAGATTTCCCAAGCTTTAAACATCTCAAGGATTACTGTGCAAGCAATTATATTGAAATGGAAGGAGTATCAGACCACTGCAAATCTACCAAGACCTGGCCGTCCCTCCAAACTTTCATCTCAAACAAGGAGAAGACTGATCAGAGATGCGGCCAAGAGGCCCATGATCACTCTGGATGAACTGCAGATAACTACAGCTGAGGTGGGAGAGTCTGTCCATAGGACAACAATCAGTCGTGCACTGCACAAATCTGGCCTTTATGGAAGAGTGGCAAGAAGAAAGCCATTTCTCAAAGATATTTGTCTCGTTTAAAGTCTGCCACAAGCCACCTGGGAGACACACCAAACATGTGGAAGAAGGTGCTCTGGTCAGATGAAACCAAAATCAAACTTTTTGGCCACAATGCAAAACGATATGTTTGGCGTAAAAGCAACACAGCTCATCACCCTGAACACACCATCCCCACTGTCAAACATGGTGGTGGCAGCATCATGGTTTGGGCCTGCTTTTCTTCAGCAGGGACAGGGAAGATGGCTAAAATTGATGGGAAGATGGATGGAGCCAAATACAGGACCATTCTGGAAGAAAACCTGTTGGAGTCTGCAAAAGACCTGAGACTGGGACGGAGATTTATCTTCCAACAGGACAATGATCCAAAACATAAAGCCAAATCTACAATGGAATGGTTCACAAATAGACGTATCCAGGTGTTAGAATGGCCAAGTCAAAGTCCAGACCTGAATCCAATCGAGAATCTGTGGAAAGAGCTGAAGACTGCTGTTCACAAACGCTCTCCATCCAACCTCACTGAGCTCGAGCTGTTTTGCAAGGAAGAATGGGAAAGAATTCCAGTCTCTCGATGTGCAAAACTGATAAGACATACCCCAAGCGACTTGCAGCTGTTATTGCAGCAAAAGGTGGCGCTATAAAGTATTAGCACAAGGGGGCCGAATAATATTGCACGCCCCACTTTTCAATTTTTTATTTGTTAAAGTTTGAATTATCCAATAAATTTCGTTCCACTTCACGATTGTGTCCCACTTGTTGTTGATTCTTGACAAAAATTTAAATTTTTATATCTTTGTTTGAAGCCTGAAATGTTGAAAGGTTCAAGGGGGCCGAATACTTTCGCAAAGGCACTGTAACAGACCTCCAACAACAGTTTGACAAACAAATCGGCACGAGGAAATTTCTGTTTACATTTCTGCTGGGGACGTCCTTGTTTTGGTCCTCTGTGATTGGCTGTGACAATGCTGCGTATCGCCCCCTTCAGACCATCTTCAGTGGTACATCTGTCTGCAGTGATCTGCCAGTGAAATTGATGCTGTCTATCTGGGAGACTGTACAAAATAACAGCGATCTGATTCGTCCAAGCTCCCTCTATGTTTTAGACCAGGGGTCATAATGGTTCCAACAAGGGCCATGTTGCTGCAGGTTTTACTTCCAACCGTTCCAAACTTAGCAGGAGCACAGATGGCTCCAGCCCATAGATCGTATGTATTAACGGATGTAGTCACGCCTATCTCCGCTGTTCAAACAAATGGACCAAAAATGGTGCTCTACTGGAGATATCCAAAATGGCGCATGCCTCAGCCGACGAGAGCTCCATTCATTTTAACGAGAGACTTAAAAAATTCACAGCAAGTAAATTAGAGTCGTCCAAATAAATTCACCCCCCTCAGTCAGCATTGACACACATGTGAAACGGAGCATTGGGCCAAGAACCAGCTTTTGGACCATCCTGTAAAGACGTTTTCAAGGGGTCAGCTAATGCTATATGTTAGCATTGGCTATTTCTTATTCTGGGCCCACCACCATCGGCCCGGGGTGGTATTGCAAGCATGTCAGCGCACATCATTTTGGCCACTTTTTAGCCGGGACCCACCCCCACTGGTGAGACCCCATGTGAGATCCACACACGCAAATTTGACGCAACGCACATGGGAGATAGCGCAACGCACATGGGAGAATCCACTGCGCAGAACCGGGAGGACCAGACGATGCCCAAATTCAGTCGAGTTCCAGGCGCGTTCCGCTAATATGTCAGCGACCATGCCGGCACAATGCGCCACTGTGCACAAACCAATTCATTTGAATACTGCGTCATCTTGGATCGCTGGGGTTTGGTTCTAAATAATGGGCCAAAAATTGGGCTTTCATGGAGTGATTCAAAATGGCCGCGGGGGCTGGAAAATGTGAAAAAAAACCTCATCTGCGCATGTGCCAGCCGGCACAAGCTCCATTCATTTAAAGAAGTTTCTTCAAAAATTCACAGCAAGTGAACTAGGTTGGTCCAAAAAAATTCACTCCCCTCAGCATTGACACACATGTGGAACAGACCCATGGGCTAAGAGTCAACTTTTGGACCATCCTGTAAAGACGTTATTCAAGAGGTCAGCTATTGGCTAATTCTTATTTCGGGTCCACCCCCGTCGGCCCAGGGTGGAATTGCAATGACCTCTTTTGAGCCGGGACCCGCCCCCACTGCTCGGGACACATGCGCGGACTGCGCGGCAAAGGCGCAGGAGCGGAAAATCGACGCACGCAGGATAAATATTGCTGAACGTTTCCTCGAGACGCTGGTGCAACACCCAGTCAGAGAGCCGCAAAGTGGTCATGGGGACATTAGCGGTCTGAGCGAGCAGACTGAACATACTGTAAACAGCCAAAACAGGAGCTACACCGCGACTAAAACCAGTGTTGACAATGGGGGACTCTGTGCTTGTGAACATATGCGTTTTCATGCTCCCTTGACTTTATGCAACTGCTTCGAGCGTGTTCGCTGATGCGGAATTACTGTTTAATAATTAAATAAACGTATGCCGTACCTCCGTGAACCATGGATCTATAATAATAACTGGATAGGGTATTACTAGCTTATAGCTGTCCCACCCACGGGCACAGGGGGCGCCCGTGGTACTGCAGACTAAATCGCATAGAACTCAATGTAAATTAAAACAGCTCGACCTCAGCTGACAGAGAACCTACAGCTTTCACAAAGATCGGATTTTGTGGGGATTTTAGTGTCCCTTGTCATCCTGAACTTTTTTCTTCTTAAATCCTTTGGTTTTCTTTAAATCCACGTTTTACTGCCACAAACTCTGCTCCCTGCCTTCCCGCTCTGGCTCCGCTCTTCCGCTGCTCTGATGATCAGCTCTGATTGGTCAGAGCCCGGCCGACCCCTCTGTGCGCATGCTTGAAAGCCACACACGCACGTTTGGAGCGACGCACGTTTGGAGCGACGCATTATGTGAAATATTTCCTATTATGCGTTGCGCTAATCCACTGCACAGAACCGGGAGGACCAGTATATGCGAGTTCAGCTAATCTCCCGGTCTCCGTGAAGTCCCATGCGCTACTGAGTACAAGCCATTCATTTGAATAGGGCGCCATCTTGGATCACCGGGGCTTGGTCGCATCCATGCGGGCTGCCTCAGTAGCTCGCTGGGGCCTCTGCTCAGCAGATTTGAAACAGTCGTAATCGCGCTGCTCTCGCTAGCAGCTTAGAGGCGTGTGTGTGTGCGCGCCGTCACCAAGGCATGCACATTAGCATTCTGTCTTCCTAATTTGTTTTTTTGGGCTGCGGGAAAATGCTGTAATATATGAACATCAGAAATGTCCTTAGGACAATAGCTTTGGAGGACGCTACTGTGCTCAATAAAATAGCTTAGTTTAAGAAAAGTTACTTGGTTTTGTAAATAGTGACGCTACTGTCAAGGTACTGAAAAATGTAGTTAAGCTACTGCCCATCGCTGCTAGTAACAACATATCACAAAACCAGGGCTGCTTAAAGGAGTAGCTCTCTGCCTTTAACGTCCCAGGAAAGAAGCTCTCTGGGTGAAAAAGGTTAGAGACACCTGCTTTAGACAAACCAGAGTTTTAAATTCAAA